ACTTTAAGATGTGTGGACTTCAACTCCCAGAATTCCCCAGCCAGTCCACACATCTTAAAGTTTCCAAATTTGAGAAACACTGCTCTAAATTTTTGGGCCCATGGAACTCCCTGCTACTATATTCTGGACCATGTAAATTCAATTAATTAATTATTAATTAATTAATTAAGCTGGGAAAAGGAGATCTTGCAAACAAACTTTGATTGCAATCCACTCCAGTTCTAATTTCTCCAAAGCACATTAATAGCCAAGGGAACTGACTCCACCGGATGGATTAATTCAAAAATCATAGCTTGCTCTGTTCATTGTACGACCTGGTACAAATTGGTGACCCACCAGAATGGAAACTAAAACCAGCAGTTTAGTCTTTTGTCAGGGTCTCAGCCCCCTCGCTGCAGGGTGTAGTCAAAAAAATCAAGATGGCAGCCACAATGGTGGGACGGAAGCTTCCCCCCAACACAACGTACATCTTGACTTTTTTGACCCTACTGTACGGACACACAGGCTTGGAGATGAGTCTGTAAGCTTTTCCCTTTTACTAATACCTGGAAACTAATATCTGCAAAGAAATCAGGGGCTGTACCTGGCTGAGTTGGAAAAGCTAAGCAGGGTTGGGCCTGGTTAGGACTTGGATGGGAGAAATCCCAGGATGGTGAGAATTGATTGGGAAATTAAAAAAAAAACCCTGCTATACAGTGAAAATGCCATCGATATGTCCATAGAATCTCCAAGAATCAAACACCGCCTTAACTAAAACTATTCTTTAAATTGTTCTCCTTAATAGGAGTTTGAGCCAATCAAGTGCTTTGATTCAAAGATGCTTCGACGGAAGCTCCCGTTTGAAGGAAAATGCCAATTCAACATGTTATTTCCCTTCAAAGCATTGGAAAGGTGAGGGTGCATCCCTTTGATCTGGATAATTAAAGCAGATCCTGTGCGTGCGCAGAGGTTCCTTCCCACCAGAGCAAAACAGCTGGCGGAAGTGAGTCGCTTTGCTTCCCCAAGGCATCACTAGTGAATTTTACACAGTCTGAGTGCATACAATACATCTAATGGGTTATTGAATTAACTTATTTTCTAGATTTGTACTATATAACAAACTATAAACTCATCCAACAAGCTGGATTCACATAATACCCTAAGCCAATGTTTCTCAACCTTGGCCACTTTAAGATGTGTGGACTTCAACTCCCAGAATTCCCCACCCCACATCGCCGGGGGGGGGGTTTTGGGGGGTGTGGTGCCCACAAATCTAAAAGGGGCAAGGGGGAGGGAAATTGTTTTTGGGGGATTTGGGT